ATATATATATATACCGTGTTTTTCACTCTATAAGTTGCAGGTTTTTGCATAATTTACATGCCCTGCGACTTTTACGCCAAAGTTGATTTTTTTCCCCCAGTATTTATAAACCAATTTTTGGCTGAAATATGACCGTTGTAATTAATCCTGACTGAAAACATTGAACACTACCATTTTCAGCCACTAGATGGCCCTCAAGTAATATGGTATGCGATTGTATCATGTAATAGTTAAAAGTGGCTATTAATGACACAATCAGACTGCCACCATCGTCTGCCTGGAGCAACCGTCAAATCAGCTTAATTTCACAGCGCTGCCCCGGCGAAATGCAGCTAATTTTACCATTGAAGTGCATTTATTAAGTAAAAGTTCAACTGAGACACACCTTTATTATAAAGTCAAGCTAACAAATAATTATTTTTAGGTGATTATCTTGTTAAATTTTGAAGAAATGCACAAGTCGCCCTCTGCGCGTTCAAGTTTCTGCGTATCGGCTTTTGAAAATGCAGCTGATTTGACCGTCAAAGTGCATCTATTAAAGAAAAGTTAAACAGAGACACACCTTTGCTATAAAGTCGAGCTAACAAATAATTGTTTTTAAGTGTTAATCTTGTTAAATTCTTGTTAAAGTCCTCCTGTGCACGCTCTTGCGGCCGCGATTTGGCAGCCAATCGATTTTTGGCACAACACCAGCCCACATTTCCAGGTTCGGTCCACATTTCCGGGTTTGGTCCACATGTCCGGGTTGTCAGTGGTGACGCGTAAAAAATGTGAGGCGTTATCGGTGACGCATAATAAACACAACTTATACGGTGAATCGACATATTTATGGATTTTTCCACCTTATTAGACATATTTGGACTGATGCGACTTATAAGGTGGTGCAATGTGTATGGCATAAAATATGGCATATATACATATATGTATACTTTATATTGCCAGGAATGGCAATGTTTAAAACAGGTCTCTCGTAAATGAGTCCTCGAGGCTCAATGAGACTAACCTGTATAAATAAAGTTTGAATGAAAAAAATGTTCAAGGTGCAAACAAGCCATGACAAATACAGCAACAGTCTTAATAACAGTTAAAGTAACATTAAAATATTTACAAGATACAACATACAATTTACACGGAGTACGGACAGCAGTATACTTGTACAATAATAAAAAGCACTTATAATAAAAACCATTCAAATCAAGGTGTCATATAAAAGAAGGTAAAATAGTAAGAACACGTTTGCTTAGATTTTTAAAATTTCTCAAACTTTTCGACTCACCCTAATCCAAGATGGCTGTCAAAGCCTCTGCTAATTTTACAGATGTTGCCCTAAAATGTGGTGCGGTGGCAGCTGAGGCTGATCCTGACTGTTCAACACATTGTGCAACATTTCTGCTCAAAGCCTTCACATTAACTCCATCACAATGTGAGCTTAGTTTAAAATGCAGCCATGAAAGGCAGCGGACAGAAAAGAAATTCTAGGCTTTTAATTATTTCAGTATAAATGAGGTGTTTTTTTTTTTTTTTAACCGAATGATTGTTTATTGTGGTTTCAGTGAATTAAAGTGCGAAATGAAGAAAGACAGTGTTGGTAATGTAGACGCTTGTTGTTTTCACACTTGGAGTGCATAAATCAACCTCTAACCTTTGCTGTCACAGGAACAACTTTAGAGAGCTTTTTGTAATGATGGAGCTTTATTGTTTTACAGCCTTTGAAGAAAATTGTCCACTTCTACAAATATTGATTAAACCGAGCGGGACCACAGGAGTAATACACTCCATGTGAATTCAGTTTTAGTGCAGATTTTCTGGGAGAGGTGTTCTTTGATCCCTCTTGCCCCACCAGCAGCTCGGTGAGCTCAGGGAATTACATCGGCTTTTTTTAAATTCTCTCTCGCAGCCGAGGTAAACAGAAGAATGTAATAATAGTAACAGCGGTACAGTTTCAGCCGTTCATGTATACATGACAGAATGTCACAGTAAACATCACTGGAGGTGTGAGCAGAAAATTAAATATCGATTAAATGCTTAATTAGTTTTCTTTCTGTGCATGTTTCTTTCCAACTTGATACTCACTTTCTTCATTTTCTCCCGTCTCCACCCATGATCTCCAGGTGGTGATGGGCCAAGAAGACGACTCATCCAGTTCCAAGAGCTCGTCGGACTCGTCCAAAACGGTGGGCCTTCTGCGAGGGCAGGCTTCCCTCTCCCCCCTGAGCCGCTGGATGCAGCACAGCAAGAGCAGAGTGGCTAACACCACCTCGCTGGAGCTGCCATATCGCTCCCCGCTCCCTTTCGCCAAGCAGGAGTTTTCCAAACAGGAGTTCTGGGAGATGTTGGGCAGTGACCTGCTTAAGCCTGACACCTCCAGCTCCCGGGTCAAACGCCGGCCCATCGTTAAGACCGGCAAGTTCAAGAAGATGTTCGGCTGGGGAGACTTCTACTCCAATATCAAAACCGTGAGGCTTAACCTGCTGATCACTGGCAAGATCGTGGATCACGGTAACGGCACGTTCAGCGTCTACTTCCGGCACAACTCGACGGGCCAGGGCAACATCTCGGTCAGCTTGGTTCCACCCGTCAAGGCGGTGGAGTTCGACCTGGAGCGCCAGAGTGTGGTTTACCCCAAGGACTCTAAGATCTTCAACTGCCGTGTGGACTACGAGAAGGTGGATCGAAGCAAGCGCACCTCGCTGTGCAACTACGATCCATCCAAGACCTGCTTTCAGGAGCAGATCCAGAGCCACGTGTCCTGGATCTGCTCCAAGCCATTCAAAGTCATCTGCATCTACATTTCCTTCTACAGCACGGACTATCGCTTGGTGCAGAAAGTTTGCCCGGACTACAATTACCATAACGAGATGCCATACCTGCCGTCAGGTTAGAGGAGACCTGGGGGGGGGGGGGGGGGAGAGTACAAGGGAGATAAATGTGGGAGTGACTGAACATCCGGAGAAGAAACTACGGCTGTAAATGTGGCAGTAAGACACCTCAAAACAAAACATTTATGTAGCCTGACTATTGTAAGATGTAAAAACATATATGCAAAACACAAACCACGGTATGCAGACGAGGAGGCAACGTTCAGGACCAGCAGTGAAAACCTAAACCCCCCACCCCAGCACAGTCTTACCTCAGTCCTGCTTCAAAACGCTCACATCTGGTCAGCACGCCTCTCATCCATTAAACGTGTCCCTTTTATCAGAACGTCTTTCTAATCGTCTGTACGAGGCTGCTTTTTGCGTAGTCACGGGGCAGTGCGTGAACTGAAAGTGGGCTTTTAACTAGCGTGATTATTCACCGGAGAGCTGCTGATGGATTCAGCCTTTATTCTAATGATCATGTTATGTTGAACACTGTGCTCTCTAAGGATAATTTAAACCGACCACAGGCATCTTATTCTCACACAGAGCAGATGAATGTAAAGCGTAACCAACCACAGCATCGTTTGAGGAATAATCAGACTTTTCAAAGGGCTCGTTTTTGTGTATTTCAGTCCAAACGATGTAAAAAAACAAAATCTCTCCTTTGATTCATTATACCTCGACATCACTGATGATGTTGGCTGACAAACCAAATCAAAGTATTTCCTTCAGTTGCAGACAGAAATAAATTAATTTCTCTTTTTTTAAAGGAAGAAGAACCCACAATGATCACTGGAATAACATACAAGTGACTAAAAGATTAAAAGGGGGAAAAAAACTAACGTACATTTCAGACAATAAGGCGCAGTTAAAATCCTTGAATTTTCTAAAAAAATCGACAGTGCACCTTTTGTATTTATTCTGGTTGTGCTTACTGAACTCAAACCAATTTTATATGGAACAAAAATCTGTCAAAACAAATTTATTTCGCTTAATGCGCCTTATGTATGAAAACAGACTCGGTTGATATTGCGCCTTGTAGTCCGAAAAATACGGTACTGAAACTCTCAGAAACTAAATATAAAAATCAAAATGAATTAAAATCAGTGATTGCTTTTTAGTTTTGGTTTAATGTTTTGAATATTTAAGAATGAAACTGCCCTTGACCTTGTATTGAAAATAATTTTCCAAATTGCATCTTGATGAGCCACACAGCTTGTGGGAGAACGTCCTTTGGACAGAAAAGACCAAACTGGAGCTTTTTGGCAAACAGCCCCATCAGCTCTGTGTCCACAGGCACTCTGGAGCTAAATGTGCTGCTCAGTGTCAGAAAGCTTGATCTCAGTCAACACAAAACACACAAGAAATTGTTCTTAAGTGGTCTTCAGAGCTGTGGAAGGAGCTGCAGCATGCAGATAGAAGATAGCCAGCGGCTTTGAATGTTATCATCCCCATAAGAAGCGTTCAGACTGTCCCTCCTGTACCTCCTAGTAGGTTTCAAGGTACGTTCTTATCGCTGATAATATGCAGCTTCGCCCGCGTTTAAAACTTTAATTTTTTTTGTTAGTTTTATTGAACCCTTTTACTAAACCTAACCTTACACCTAACTCAGAGCTCTGACCCTAAACCTAACCCCCTGACCCTATTATCAGCGATAAGAACGTACCTTTAAGTCTACTAGGAGGTACAGGAGGGACAGTCTGAACGCAACCTATGGAGATGATAACAAATGATAACATTGAAGCGGGTGAGATATCAACCTGCTGGAGCTGTTTGATGACGAGGAGTGGACCCAAACACCCGTGGACAGATGCAGGAGTCCCTCAGGGATTTCCTCAAAAGGTCATGCAACAAAAAGTTATGACTACCATCTTTTTGGTCAAGGCCAGTTTGATCCCTTTTTAAAATAATTCTGCTAAAACCAAAATTCGAAAGCAACGGCTGATTTCTTAAAACTGATGTTCAGTTGGTAACTTTTGTCAATTTCAAGTTTTTTCCACTGACCATTGTGGGTTCATCTGTAGCCAACGAGCTGCTACAAAACAAACTGATCCGCGTCTGAGTGTGACCTCCAAATAAAATTTACCAATCAGGAGAAATTGCTTTGCGACGTGCTCGAGACGAGTTCAGTGTGAAGGCAACGACTGCGCAGACTGAGTCAGCCTCCACACTTGTGACAGAAAGTATAAGGTAAGAGGTGAGAGATGGAGAGATTCAGAGCTCTTTTAATTAAAGTGTGGAAGGAGAGTACGCGGCGCCTTCTATTGTCCCTTCTGCATGAAAAAGATTACATTTTGTTGCCGTCAGGATTCCTGATTTCACGCCTTGATAACTCTGACTGTGTGAGAGAGAGATTGCTCTCTCTCAACAAATACTGCGCTCACTAAAGTAAACCCGTTATCTTGAATAAATGAAAATATTATCATAATAATCACATATAACTTAATCTCTTTTAGGTGTAATTAAGGTTTCAACAAGAGGGCAGCAAGCATTCCTAAAAATCAAGTCAGCAGAAGAGCGGATGTTCCTGAGGATTGTTGTGTTTGTGCAGAGCCAGCAGTCGCAGTTTAGCTCCGAGTTAATGGCAAATTAAGACAAATGGCCACTAGCTCGTCCGGCTCATGTTGCACAAACAATATGAGTGCAGCGCAGCGTTTAATGAAAAGAAATGGATTAAGTCACCCAACTTTTTATGTTGCCAGGTCACCATTTACGAGGACACAATATATTCTGGTTAATTAACAGATGAACATTCACAAGACAGGTGTGAATTAAACAAAGATGAAGTCCAGATCTGGACTCCTGGGTGGACTCGAGCTGCAGCGTATTAGCCGTCCTCGTGTGGGAGGCCAGCCACTGAAGCATCTCTGGCTGCACAGAGCGAGCTCAGAGAGCAGCAGGAGGAGGAAAGGCCGAGCATGTGATAGAAACAAAGACCTGTAAATCTGCACATCAACGTGCTTAGTTTTGAATCTGCTGGAGGAAACTCATCTCTGTAAGAATCAAAGTCTCCAAGCAAAACGCACACGTCTGTACGGAGCAGGTTGCAAAATCACTTGCAGCTTTTCTGTTACAATCCCGTCTTCTCCGTCATGATTTTCTGTCTCCTTTTGTTTTTGGTTGTTTCATCTGAGCACAGATTTTATAAACGGTGATGGTTTGTGTACACATAAATCTGTCGGCCTCACCGTGGCAAAGGGCAGCAGCTCAAACTGAATGCTTGTCGCCTTTTTGAAAGCACCCTTTCATGCACTGCTGAATTTTTTATTTTTCAACGTTATGAACGCACCAACCAGCATGAATGAGCCACTGCCTGTCCATCGTGTCCTCATCCTCGCTCTCCGTCAGATGTTTGCACGACGCTTGGTCATTTCTCCCTCAGTCTGCACAATTTAATTAGTTCGACCTTGCTGACATGCAGTGGCGGTTCTAGAGGGGGTCTTGCCATCCCAGCATCCACCCTAAATATTAATTTATTAATTTAAATTCTTAGATATTTTGCACAATGTTGAAAAATGTTGATCAGGCCTTGTCCACACTGGAACAGGTATAGTTTCTGCCTTGTGTCCACATGGAAACAGGAGTCCCCAACTTGCACAAACACAACCCATTAAAGACAGTGATGTTGTAATCCCACCTCTAACTTGACCTATGACCCCCAGAATGACAGATTACGTGCTTGTGTTTAAGCTGGTTTCTTAACCAATACTGCTTTTATTACTGATGTACTTCAATAAGCTAACTAACCCGATAAACAATGACATCATCTTAATTTGAGCAAAACAAAAACCTTTCTTTGTCCCAAATAATCTAAGGCCAAAAAGATTTTGTTGTTTATTGAACTGTCAACAATACTGACATTTAGTATACATTTAAAAAAATGTATGAAATTAGAATAGTTTTAAAATATTGGCGCTTGTTTTTAAATGAATGGCATCTTGTCGTCCCTGAAAAGTGTCCGTCACGTCTGCACATTTGAGCTCATGGACTTGAAGCCAGTTGCAGTTAAACATGACAAGAAGCTTCGTCGTCACTATATATATATATATGTATATATATATATATATATATATATATATATTTCCTTCTTTACAAGAATCTGGTCTTTTAATCTGTTTTAAATTGTAAAAAAAAATCAATAAATGTTAAAAATCATTAGATATTTTTAGCTTTATAAGGTCTTTATAAGACCAAAAAAAGTCTCCTCCAACAAACCTAAAGTGGCCCATGGGCCAGCAGTTGATAATCACAGTTGTAGCAGGTTGTTGCGGCTCTGGACACGTTTAATGAATGGAGGTGTAGAAAAAGCTCAAATGATCATGAAGGTTGCAGACCCCTGTTCTAGATCCTCCGCTGCTGACGGGTCTCAGCCTCCGTACCGTTTCCGCCTCCCTTCACCTCGGGGGTGAACCCTGCTGTGGGCAGCCCCTCCCCGCCGTCTTTAACATCTTTTCTTACACACAGAGCTGAGTTGAGCTGACTAATCTCTGGGAGCTTAACATCAAGCTAACAGAACATTAGCTGCGAGAACTTCCCTCGCTCCATCTTTATCTGCTTCTCGTTCTATCTTCATCCCATCAGAAGGTGTGTGTGCACACGCAGTCCTAACATGTGCTGGTTTAGGTACTTCCTCTCTACTGTTCAAAGCATCTTACATAAGCTCCGGGATTGGGAGAACGTCGAGATGTCCTCGAGAGCATGTCAGTGGAACGCTGAACACAGATACGCCCCAGTAACCTCAGTGCAGCCAATCTGACCCCCCCCACCCACACATCCTGCTGGAAACTCAAGCATGATGGAATCAAAGCGGGGAAACATGACATGGCGCTCCGTCATTGTAGAGAAAAGAAGGACCTGTTGGGAGAAGACGCTCCATCCTCTGCTCCTCTCAAATATACAGCAATACTCTCACGGAGACTCCACCCTCTCTGCCTCTCTGGGGCGCAGCAAAAAGAATTTAAAAAATAAAAAAAACGCTGCTGAACTAAGTTTAACAGACAGTCACGTTGGTGTGGGACTGA